GTTGCCTAGCGACGCCGGACACCCTCTCAGTGAGGTGTTTGGGGACATGAGGGGGGGATTACAGGAGACAGATTACGGATTTACCAAGAAATCAAAATGCTCGTTTGGCCACGCTTTGGTGATCATTCTTTCATGTGAGTCGCCTTCTTGTCGACCTCGGAATTCAGAGGACGTGTCTTGAAATGGAAGAAGCTATGGACAAGCTTGGGGTTTCTTGTTCCTGGGCACGACCTCATGCCATGGTGGCGGATTGATGGTAATCCCACTGACATGGTTCTGGCGGGGATGCGATGCTGTCTGTTGTTGTTGTAGCTGCTACATCCAGCTCTCAGCTCATGGTGTGTATGATGTCCAGGACAACGCCGATGGGAGAAGGAAAGCTATTAGAGTATGGGGACATACAGTAGGGTTATCGGTTCAAAGGCGCAGAGAGATAACTCACCACTGCTTGCGGATCTTCTGTATATCTTCTTTATATCTTCTTTATATCACACATATAAACACACGTGCGTGGATATATGGCACTCTTCTTGTTTTCGCCAGTAACTATCTAGCACTTTATCATCGTAAACTAGCAGTATTTTAACTGGCGCGACAGTTACTCGTAACAACGTCGGTCGACAGCATCCTTAAGTAAACATCGTCATTCAATGTACGGCGTTCTTGTTTCCTTTCCACTGCCGTAAACATAATCTCTATACATACTTTTACATTAATATTCTATCATTCATTTACGTGTTGAATTAATCAAGACAAAACATGACATGGGTGACTCTTGTAGGAAACCTACCCGTAGTTCAATAACTTAATGTGCAACACCATTAAAGTTCAATCTTAGACATGCTGACAAGCTCTGACAACTCGATGGTATGTCAATAACACCGGCATTTTCTCAAAGTTTAGCAGCAGTTGTGAAGAATAGATTCTTACCAGCAGAGGCAACTATCTGGTTGTTGTACATGTCGGCGTAGTTTTCATATGATGCCATATAGACAAATACATTTGCTGTTTTCAAGGTTCAATTCTGAAATGTTATTGTTAACATTTTCAAAATATTTTGAACTTTTGCCAATCAGTTTTCACAACAAAGTAATATTTCTACTATTTGTAGCATCACTATTGTGGTCATATTTTTAACGTACATCTATAGTCCATAGAGTGTCGACGATAATCCAGGACAGCGGATCCGCGAACTGCCATTTTACATACTCAACTCCCTGGGGAGGACACGTTCTTTGTTGTCCCGAAAGTAAATTCTTCTGCGTGTATGAGAGTGAATAGAAGAAGCGAGGAGAAAAACTTGGTTCTTTACTGCTGAGCTTTGTGAAGAAATATTTGTTCAGTGATGAACGGTTACTGTGGCCCACTGTGCATTAGGCCCTCGCCTCAGAACAACAACTGAGGAGAAAACACGAACAGCTGAGAGTAGATGTTTTTCGAGTGAATGCATGGACATATTGTAAACAATATTCCAAGTCTCCAGTGTCACGTACTGAGAGAAGCCTAACGCCGTGACGTGACTGGTCTGATGTCCTGTTGCTATGAATATTAAACAATTTCAAGTGGACTTTCACGATTCTACATATGAGAATTCTATTTGGACAAATGGGAACATCAGGTTTCTAATATATGATTAAATACTTGGCGATCGGCTTAACTAACCTTCTGGGACATCCATGTAGCCTGTTATCTATATGCTAAATGCTGAGATATTGCACGCTTAAAGGAAACCACTCGGTCCATTTATCCATTGTCTTGACGAATGCAGACATGCCGTTCAAATATATTATAACCCTTGTGCTTTATTTCATAAATCAATTATTCTTTCATTTCACATAGTTCACTGTCTCCATAATACACATGGACAGTTTGCAGAAATTCTGCGCCATGAGAAAATTGTATATTTTTCATCTTTACTTCTCCTGAACCGATCACAGATACGGCATATAAGCAACAAAGTATGCTCTGTTTGATGGTGGTTAAGAATATAACAAGCAGGTGATGGTTATTTATGGGAATGTATTTGATACTGGAATCACGGTAATGTTTGGGGCCTGACGTTTGCAGTGTTTAAGTGATTGCAGTCAGACTCGTTACTCCTGACCGTTTATAACAACGTGACTACAGGTACGTGGACTTCCAGGGCCTTGCGCATGCTTGATGCAAACAATGTTGATGGTGATTGGTGTTTGCTTGTCGTTTATCTTGGCTTCACGCATACTGCCTGACTGGGCAATGTGCTGTAATTCGTTCAGGTGACCACCTAAAAGTATGCATCAAACCAGGAAAAAACACACGCAAGCACGCAAACACGCAAACACGCACACAAACATACACACACATCCTCGTTCAACCCTACGTTTGTCCGATCAGCAAAAACACATTCCAGACACATGTATGCTTCATGAAGAAGTGACCAATTGACCTCCGCTTATTCAGTGCCGCAGCGTGTAGATAATGATAGTAGACAGCATACCTGTCCACACAGTAGTTCACACACGAGTATGTAACATTGTAACACTGTAAGACCAGCGGTGTCACATATCCCATGTCAGTGTAATACAACCAGTCCCACGAGTCCCATATGTCATTCACCGTGCCTCATGGACGTTCCGCTAAACTGATTTAGATTTGATTTTAATTCTCCAACATGCCTCGGATTACCAGCTTACATTATTAAGACTACAAATGTTCAGAAACTACATACTTGGTACAAGAGGACTGACGCTCGGTTGGTGTATTGTCCCACGTCACAAAGATGGCGGTTGGTCGTGCCTAGGATTTGGATCTTGGCTTCTGTCTGTCATCAGAAGATCGTGCATGCACATCAATAGTGAGCGCAGTGACTATTGCTTGAATATTGTTAATGGTGGCGTAAAAACCAACTCAGTCACGGTTTAAACATTAAGAAACAGCATACAGTCATTCGTAATTTGTCTAGTTCACCGGGGCGGTGGGGTCGCCTAGTGGTTAAAACGTTCGTTCGTCTCGCTGAAGGCCCGAGTTCGATTCCCCACATCGGTACAATGTGTGATGCCAATTTCTGGTGTCCCCCGCCGTGATATTGCCTGAACATTGCTAAAAGCGGCGTAAAACCAAACTCACTCACTCACTCGAGTTCACCGTTGACGACTGTCTGGTTAATACTCGAGTTGTACATTTGCAGGTGTTGTATCCTTTATCACATTTTGTACTGTCCGAGGTACTAAACACATTAAACACCAATGCCGATAATTTGACTTTATCGATGTGTATGTAAACTAAACTCATTAGTTAGGATTGCATGTTTATTAATTAAGTTCATTTAATTTCAAACCAAGTTCAACTACACAGATAGAGAAGAGGATATTACTGTGTCTATAGTAATAATACCAGGACATGTTCTATTTTGGACGAATTCTTAGGCAATACTTAATTTTCTTATGCAAACCAATTAAAATAACGCCTTCATACAGTGTTACTGAAACAAATTAGTTAGGTATCCTTTGGCTCTATCTGTCCATGAAATTAATCAAACATTGAATTTAAAAACTAGCTTCACAGAAAAGCCTCCCAAACACGGAACGTGTAAAACAATATCAATACCGTAGGAATATCAAGTTAGTTTGAGTAATTAGAACGTAAGGCAGCTGTGGTCGTCGTAGACAGAGCTGTGGAAACGTCGATTTCTTGTTATAACTGATCTAATGCCACGATGGATGGTTGTAATACAGCACCCCACTCAGCCTCTTTCTGAAGGGAAGTGCTGATCAGTTCAAACTGACGATCGGATATGTTCAACATATTTTGACACTTACAAAGCATGGATTCATTGGCGAAGGATTCATACGAATCAGATACATTTCGTAGTGAAGAAGTATGTAAAATATTATAATGGGTTCTATTAGAGTCCGAATGTGTAAGGGAATGAACGCTGATTTTACTACATCTTTACGGACCCAGCATGTGTTGTCGTCCTTGTTTCATCTACGTCACTGGGTGAACAGCGTGACATATTTTATATTTTAAGTATTTGTAATAAAATGTTCGTGACATTATCATTTAATAAACTTTGCTGTTGTATGAACAAACTGATAAAAAATAAGACCTATTGGTGATCGAACTTCCGATCACAGAGTATTACTGTTTTTTTTAATTTCCATCCAAATGCAGATAGAGTGATGTCCCTTAGATAGGTAGACCAAGATGTCTGCCGTTACGTCATAGTAACCATGACCTTGGACCCTGCCTCGTGATTAAAATATTAGGTTCGTTCATTAATCCATCAAAATCGGGGTGTGGCAAACTTAACTCCAGTTCGTCCCCTTCAGCCATTCTACGACTTCGTTCAATCAATCAATCAATTCCGTTTTCCAGGCACATGGCACAGGTAAAGTTACAAGCTAAATTAAAAAATGTCCAACTATATTACTTCTTCTTTTCGTTAATGTATTATTGAAACAAGCAGCGATATCGTTCGGCCTCGGTTCATTTTGCTGAGGGCCTTTAATTATAAAAGTTGGAACGACTAGTAAAATTAAGACTCTCTCCCCATATTTTAATATTAAGTAAAACATTTTGCAGGCTGCTTAAATTTCATACATAAAAGTCTAAAAATTCGATTATTTAGAAGTGTCATTTGATTGGTTGTCGATTCCAAGCCCCTGAGGGAGAGGAATTGGCATTTAGTTGGTAAAAGGAGAAGGGGTGATGATTACGTCACTTCCAAAATAAGGTTTTGGTGCCGAAATGGCCCGGATTTTTTTATTCCGATACAAAATTGAAATGCATGAGACGAGTAAAACAATGTTCAGGTTCCCTGACTTGAATGACTGCATGCCATCGTATCCAAATTGCGTGTAGTGGTGTACATGTCAGTCACTGGATTGTCTGGTCAAGACTTGATTGTTTACAGATCTCCGTCAATCATTTGGAATATTAGTGATTTCTGGCGTTAAACAACAAACAAATTTGCAATCTCTGTTACTTGTATGGTTAACCCGTGTTGTTTACTTCTCCAGTGCTGATGACCGTCTGAAGGAGCAGCGTGATGCCCTGGTTGTGGTGTACCCGGATGGAAACCTTCTGTGGATGCCTCAGGCAATCATCCGATCATCTTGTAACTTCGATACCAAGTACTTTCCTTTCGACGAACAAACATGCACGCTCAAGTTCGGGTCCTGGACATACAATGGCCTGAAACTGGACATCCATTTCACCCGCAACACAACGTCCATGGATCTAACAGACTATATTCCCAGCAACGAGTGGTTTATCATCCAGAACGAGGCCGTCCGAAACGTCAAGCATTACGCGTGTTGTACAGAGCCGTACCCTGACCTCACATTCAAACTACGAATACGCCGGAAGGTGGCGTTCTACACATTTATCCTTATCCTGCCATGCGCACTACTCTCCTTGCTCACGCTGGTCATCTTCTGGGTGCCTCCAGAATCTCCTGCTAAACTCATTCTTGGTAAGTATCGACTACATACACACTTCGGACGACAGTCAAACACAGAATTTCGATGTGGCGATCTTTCTTTTGTCCCAAAGTAGAAAGTTTATTCGTTATTTAGTCATTATTTTAGGATTGTGTCGAACGTCGGATAACTCGAATTATTTACGTATGTCCCTTCAACTTCGACACAATAGTGTTTGACTGAACCCTCCTCTCTGGAGGTGCACTATGTGGTCCAGCATGGCCATTGTTATCTAATGGCGTCATGTTTCGCCTTTTAGACTTGATAGGGATTTTATGTCCAATAACGACGACATGTGGAGGGTAAGGGCTATATATTTTACTGTATTTGTGACTACCGCATATCTACCGCTTAATTTCTGTATCGCCAGCAGTGTTGATATGTTATGCTACTCAGAAGACCCTTTGTCAAGAGTCATTATTGTCGGATCTTGCCAATACTGTTAAAAGCAACACATTATGTTAATCGGTATCTGTGACAATTAGTTAAGCCGATACCGCCGTCACGTGATGACATCCAAAATACCCATCTGCATTGCCGACCACGCCTATAGCGACACATGACGACGTGCACCACGCATTCTACTACTCAGCGTTATAGATGTCACGTGATGATGTACAGTACTGCTTATGTCTTAATACTCACATTGTGACGCACATCACATATTGTTGTTTTTGGTAGTGTTAGTGCTGTGTAATGGGACCCCAGTCGACGCGCGACACAGACAATACTAATTGTCAGTCGTCACGTTATAATGCATAACACACCTCATCATGCATGGAGCGTGTAAACTAAACACCTTGTGTTACTCCGAGTTCAGAACGCCAACAGTATGTGTTACTCAGCACTCACAACGCGTCGACACCCGACATTGTGTGTTACTCCGAGCTCAGAATGCGTCGACACCCGACATTGTGTGTTACTCCGAGCTCAGAACGCGTCTACCCCCGACATTGTGTGTTACTACGACCTCACAACGCGTCGACACCCGACATTGTGTGTTACTACGACCTCACAACGCGTCGACACCCGACATTGTGTGCTACTCCGAGCTCAGAACGCGTCGACACCCGACATTGTGTGTTACTCCGAGCTCAGAACGCGTCGAAACCCGAGATTGTGTGTTACTCCAAGCTCAGAACGCGTCGATACCCGACATTGTGTGTTACTCCGAGCTCAGAACGCGTCGACACCCGACATTGTGTGTTACTACGACCTCACAACGCGTCGACACCCGACATTGTGTGTTACACCGAGCTCAGAACTCGTCGACACCCGACATTGTGTGTTACTCCGACCTCACAACGCGTCGAAACCCGACATTGTGTGTTACTACGACCTCACAACGCGTCGACACCCGACATTGTGTGTTACTCCGAGCTCAGAACGCGTCTACACCCGACACTGTGTGTTACTCCAAGCCCAGAACGCGTTTACACCCGACATTATGCGTTACTCCGACCTCAGAACGCGTCTACCCCCGACATTGTGTGTTACTCCGAGCTCAGAACGCGTTGACACCCGACATTATGCGTTACTCCGAGCTCAGAACGCGTCTACCCCCGACATTGTGTGTTACTCCGACCTCACAACGCGTCGACACCCGACATTGTGTGTTACTCCAAGCTCAGAACGCGTCTACCCCCGGCACTGTGTGTTACTCCAAGCTCAGAACGCGTCTACCCCCGACATTGTGTGTTACTCCGAGCTCACAACGCGTCTACACCCGACATTGTGTATTACTCCAAGCTCAGAACGCGTCTACTCTCGACACTCAGTCTTATTCTAAGAGTGTGTGCGTGAAGCGTCTGTTGTGTCTCCAGCCGACACGTGTACAGCAGAAAGTATCGAGCCATGCCTTCCCTGAGCGTCGGTTGGAGTGCCGCTCAAGCCACTCAATATGGGCTGTAAACACTCGACACTGGCGTGGAGCTGTTTAATGTTGATCACATCATTCCTGTCACTTACTGTCAATACCACAAATTTGAAGGCTTAGATTTCTAATCCCTTGACATTTCCGTCGCTGGAAATAATTTCACTTCTCGGCCCTGTCTCTGGAACGAAACCACCACAAATCAGCCAACACAAATTGTGTAATAAGTCAAATATCATATAACTTGTTTGCCAGGCTGCGGTGAGTGACAGTTAATTCTTAAATAGTTTCAAAAATATTCGATGTCATTAACGTAGGTGCCTTTAGGGTAAGATGGCGAGTGATGGCTGTGATTTCCCCTCCCCAGTTCTATACCCCACCCACAGCAGCAATCTCACATCTCAGTCTACCGGTCATTCAAACAGGCTTTACAGGCTTATTTAGCCGTATCGTCGATCGATGTAAAAAGTTTGCACCTTTTCGGAAGAATTCCATAATTCCTTCCACGTCGAAGTTAATGTTTGTAGGCTTATTAGAATTGCGTGCATATCTGGAGATGTTGGATGCCTAATTCTACTTTGTGTGTCCGTTAACATCTCCGCCTATTACAAGTCTTTTTTTTGTCTGGAGTTCAATACCACATAAGGATATTGATATATACCTAAAGGCTATACCCTGTATATTCTCCTGTTTTTATTTAACGCTTTTGAGGCACTGATGTCGTCCAGTAATGCTCCTCATTATACGGCGCTGCGTTGATTGATTCTAAGACGAGTGTTATCCGCCCAGTATCCCTCCGCCGCGGTCTATCTGGTTAGTATCCCTCCGCCGAGCTTCTTCCGCCGTTCCGGCAGCGGTAAAGTTCGGCCCTGATAGAGACCTAGCGCAGGGGGCAGAAAGCAATTTAATTTTCACTGTCGAGCGTCCATCCCAGGGCCTGTTTCGTTTCCTTTATCTTATTTCTGTTAATGGGGCCAGAAAAACATGGCAGACACATTGACAGGCGTGCTACAGCAACTAACAAAAGTTGATTTGAAGAAAAAAAGGTGGAAAGATTGCACACTGTCCGGTGCTTAAGTGATTCCATCGCGGCCAAGTGCAGGCGCTGCTTGACAAACTCTCTGAGGAATACAGAAGACTACCACCAATTCAGGCTTTTACATTTTTCGTTTACTCTGCAAATGACTGAGTTAGCTGTTAATCTCGTAGAAATGTCTATTTAGGACACAGTCTCAAAATTATTACCACATTTGCAAAGTTTCAAATTAGAAATAGCACATCTTTCCTATCTCACAAAATTCGTAACGCATTTGGTATTGATGTTTCAGCTTTAAGGGTGTGCGTCGTAGCGTCTCATGTCTCCCTCTCTCCTCGCGCCTAATGGAGGAACATAGAGTCATGTTTAAATCATACCTATCGATTTGTTTTAACAATTTAATTCTGATTTCTGTTTTTTCTCAACTAACTTCGTGGTCATGTGATAGTACGGTTCCGTAATGTGGCGTTTCGATAAGCGTTTCAGGGTGTCATTTTAATGTACTTTCAAAAACTATGTCAAAAGCAATTTTAAAAGACTCGTTTATGTGGTGAAATTAGAAAGGTTTTAATGGAAGTTCAACGCTTGTCATGTCCATATAGTGGCGTGCTCTCCAGAGTCGCCACAGCAATTATTCCCCCGCACGTATATCTCCATAGAAAAAGGTTTCCAATCAGTGTTCTCTCTAAAGATCGGCCTTTTTTCATTTTATTATTTTCCAACAGCATTGTTCTCCCACGACCTTGTATTCCTACCTAGACTTCAATCTCACACTTTTTTCAATCATGCATTTTTATATTGTTATATTGTTTTCTAAAACTGAATATTTTCCAATCACGTTATTCCAATACCTTACGTTGCTGGTCATGACGTTAACGTCATGTTATTTTGAATGTCGTTGCTTTATTTCACTTTTCTTCTGTTACATAGTACATCATTGCTTCATTTCACTGTTCTTCTGTTACATAGTATATCATTGCTTTATTTCACTGTTCTTCTATTACATAGTACATCATTGCTTTATTTCACTGTTCTTCTGTTACATAGTACATCATTGCTTTATTTCACTGTTCTTCTGTTACATAGTACATCATTGCTTTATTTCACTGTTCTTCTGTTACATAGTATATCATTGCTTTATTTCACTGTTCTTCTGTTACATAGTACATCATTGCTTCATTTCACTGTTCTTCTGTTACATAGTATATCATTGCTTTATTTCACTGTTCTTCTATTACACAGTACATCATTGCTTCATTTCACTGTTCTTCTGTTACATAGTACATCATTGCTTTATTTCACTGTTCTTCTGTTACATAGTATACCATTGCTTCATTTCACTGTTCTTCTATTACATAGTACATCATTGCTTCATTTCACTGTTCTTCTCTTACATAGTACATCATTGCTTTATTTCACTGTTCTTCTGTTACATAGTATATCATTGCTTCATTTCACTGTTCTTCTGTTACATAGTACATCATTGCTTTATTTCACTGTTCTTCTATTACATAGTACATCATTGCTTTATTTCACTGTTCTTCTATTACATAGTACATCATTGCTTCATTTCACTGTTCTTCTGTTACATAGTACATCATTGCTTCATTTCACTGTTCTTCTATTACATAGTACATCATTGCTTCATTTCACTGTTCTTCTATTACATAGTATATCATTGCTTCATTTCACTGTTCTTCTATTACATAGTATATCATTGCTTCATTTCACTGTTCTTCTATTACATAGTACATCATTGCTTCCATTCATGGTCTTTTCTGTTTCATTATACTTCGTTCTTTCTTTTCATTTTTCTACTGCTCTTCATTATATTGCTCTTCTGTTACATTGTACATCGTTGTTTCAGTGTTCCAGTATCTTGCACAGTTATGTCATGCCACTGTTATACTTCTGGGCGCTGTCCGTCTTTGCTTTATAACGTTGCTGTTCGACATTGTATATTGTTACTGCAAAACTTTGTTCTACTTTCTCACCCGTGTTTCATGTAAATGCTCTATATTTTATATAGTGTTGCTTCATTTAATACTTCTCTTTGAAGTGAGCTCATACCAGAGCAGCTTTGTTCGTCGTCCTTCATCTAATGGCAGCAAAGTTCTCTCTGAAACAAACCACTGCACGATGCTGAAACGACACACGTATATACCCACCAATTATGACCACCCAATTTGTTCAAATGGTTCTAATTCAGCAGTCAATATGATTTATTTTGCCATTACGCAATGAAATAAAGTTTAGTAAATATATAGTTACACGCGGGGCTCATTTATTGCGGTATAGTATAATTGTTTAATCTTGCTTTGACGTTTGTAATTTGATTAGCCTCTTATTTCGATCCAAATGTATTCTTGGCCTCAGAGATCACTCAACAATTGAAGCAGAAACTTCACACGTTTGTTCCAAACAGTGGTCATATTACCTGGTATCATCAATAGGTCATATTGATTCCCAAACCATACATTCCACTGTGCCTTTGGCAGAGACTTTATGTGGTAGAGGCTTTATGTTGCTTTGGAAAGGGTTTTGTTTATGATATTATATGTCTATCTTCAATAACTGTTTATCCCATTTCATTATACCGAGTATGTTTAATCATTACTCATTCATTTTGTCAAAATGTAATACTATTTGCTATATGAAGTAGTTATAGTAGGATTCAAGCCATAACATATGCTACAGGAAATATGTACTTAAACATCATTCGAACTTTACCTTCAGAATATGCTCAATAATTCTCTCAAAATGCAATCATATGCACTGTTGACACAATCTCGTCAGAATTCACCGGACCGATGAAGCAAAGCATGAGGCTTGAATCAGAGTTTCAATATGGCCACCATGGAAGCCATATTGAATTGCTTATTATTGACCGTTAATGGGCAAATTTGTCTCAGAATGTACGTTTATATTTGAAGAAATTTCAACATTTATTACACACACACACACACACACACACACACACACACACACACACACACACACACACACACACACACACACACACACACACACACACACACACACACACACACACACACACACACACACACACACACACACACTATTTAATACTTGTTTACTGACCATGAAATTGACTGAGGAAACTATGGTGTATTCAATTGTGACAACATTATGTACTCTATTCATGTTAATGATATCTTTAGATTTTTGTTAAATTTAAAGAACAACAAAGATTTACGCTGACTCATTCTGTATCCAATAACGACCGTAAGAAGATTCAAGGCAAAATGAAAAATCTCAACATTGCTAGACGATGAAAAAGCTACAAGACATCTTTTTCGTCTTAACCAGAATCTGATCAACCAGATTTATGTAAACTTAGCTTAAATTTTTATCGCTATAAATATGTTGATGCGTTGTTACAAACAGAGGCACAAGGGCAGTAAGAACATTAATATATGTATAAAGGTCTTTCGCAGCCATGTTTTGTTAAAATACTGTATATTCCTCATGAATTACACTGAACTGTTTTAGATACAAGTGACTGCATTGTTTTTGAGGACAGGTTTCGTTTACTTAATAAATTTCTGTTTGAGACACAGTTCCATTGTACCTTCATTCAGATGCAATGTTTATGCACATTATTGGCCAGATAGGTAGTTATCATGCTTCTTGTCAAGGTGCTCCGTCATGGACAGTGCCGTTCGCTGATTTTGAAAATTATACATATGGGTGTATTCTGTAATACGGAATACCAAAATGCTTGGTTTCAGTGGCTTAACATTAAATAATGCAGCTTCTTTAAAATATTGCATATACGTCCGTTTATACAGTTCATGAGCATGACCGTTTTCCGAACTGTACCTAGATATATGAAGTTCAGCATTGATGAAGTTATCAAAACATTTGAAATAGGAAAATATCAGTTTCAAATATGTTGTTAGTTTGCGTTATCAGAATCAAACTTGCTTCAAGCTCTCAAAAACATTAGCATAATCATTTCTAAAAATAATTTATCCGTATGCCGAGAGATTATGTTTCAAGATGCGATCCATGGAAATGATCGACCAGAAATTAGCTATTCTATTCAGGACCACCAAATCTTGAAGGCATTGGTTGTGTTGGGATTCCAATGGCTTCTGTAAGAAGTAACCGTCCTCATAGACAAATCATTTCATAAAATAAATCTTCGTTGTTTGGCAGTTAATGGTTGAGAAGGATAAATGAATGCTTTTGGTGAAGATTGTTTCTCAATCAATACTTCTCGGTTAGTGCAACTATATTGCAAATGTTCCTGATTGGTAAGTGAAATGCCGTTCGGCTTTAGTTCTAGCATTAGCGGTATGTAGAAAGAATTAACATTTTCTCACAATTTGCTGTTCATAATGCATCAGCATGACTTTGTGACATTCGTCAATGATTTCAAGTTAAAATATTTATATGTAACAAAGTGTGTTCGGTTGATCCTGGCCCAAACAGGCTGGTCATCAGCTCAGCCGAGACAACGAATGGGATATCTCCCAGGAAGCACCACCTTGTAGGTTACCAGGAACTATTCGGAGAATTGTAGTCTTCTGCACTACCCAGTGAGTCAGATAGCCTGTGTTCCTGGCAACAAATCCAAGTATTCTCCTGAAAATAAAAGCGAATAATAACCAATTTACAGTTTCGAGCAGGAAGTAACTGGTCATGATCAGCACAAAGAAAACCCCCTGTTTCACTGTTCAGACCAACCGACTTCATTCAAGCGAAGGGCTGATCAGAAGTTCTGTTCTACTCAACACAATGATCATAAACTCGATACATATTTCGTTCAGAGAGCAGTTTCTTCATCTGTTACATAGATCTTCCATCACATCATTTTCTATTACAAAGTCCTCTCTCGCATCATTCTTCTGTAACAATGTCCTTCCATTACATCATTTTCTATTACAAAGTCCTCTCTCGCATCATTCTTCTGTAACAATGTCCTTCCATCACATCATTTTCTATTACAAAGTCCTCTCTCGCATCATTCTTCTGTAACAATGTCCTTCCATTACATCATTTCATCTATTACAATGTCCACCAAGTAAATTATTCTTCTCTTACCATGCCCTCCAAGTAAATTATTCTTCTCTTACCATGCCTTCCAAGTAAATCATTTCTCCATTACGGTGTTCTCCATTCTTTTATTACAATATGTTTACTACGATATGTTTCACTTCCGAAGTACGGCTTTGTATCACATCTAGTTCTGTTATCAAGTTTGTGTCAGACAGATCTCCAATTACAGCTATTCTTTAATCGTGTTGTTCTTCAGTCATATGTTCATTTAAGGCATGTGAACGATTTCGTATCCTAGAGCTCTCAAACAACATTAGTTCTTTCTAATACAGGGCTCTGCCATTACACCGTTCTCCTATCAGGCTATTACATTTTTCTCCCTGTTCAGTCAATTTTTACCTTCACAGGCTTGTTTTTTTTCACTTCAGTACACAGTCTTTGCATTTCAACAGAAGCAATTCCATGTAATCTCATGTTCTCTCTCATTCCAGGAATGAACATTTTTCTCGCATTCTTCGTGCTACTGCTGCTTCTGGCCGACTCGACGCCGAAAGCTGCAGCATCTATACCCCTTATAGGTAAGTCTGGCACTATCGTATGTACTTGTACAGGGTTCTTGGGGAGAGTAGTGTGTATGTTACTGTGTAGAATTCGCCCGATATAAATTTTGGCTGTGGCTAGAATCGCCAAAATCGACTGTTCTGGTTACTCTCAGTGACTCAGTGATGTGGGAGGTTGCTCATCGTCTCAGTCTCTAGTCTGTCCTTTCCAGACTTACCATGCATGAGCCGTCGTGATATACCTTGAACAGTGCTGACTGTATCGATATTAGAATTACTATACTTGTAGTGTGCCAGTTTTCTGCAGTAAGCTCAATGCAACATTAGTCACTCCCCATTTCCAAGCAGAATACTATAATGTGTATATTTGGAGTTGAGCGAGTGGCATGTACGTGTAATTAGTAGTGGGGAGAGTGGAATATACATGTCTATATGAGCATATGATACACACATGCATGTATATATACACTGTCTGTTTGATGCATATAATATTCATATGGTTATTACACATATGGGTGAGAATAAATTCTACTACCTCTTTTGTCTCTTTTGTGATCATAATGCAATATGTTTAAATGTACAATTCACTGTAGTCCTTACGTAATTGTGTAAAATGTGAAGTATAAAGTACGTAAATTGATACAAGCCCCTCCAACCATTCCGACAGATGATAGTAGAGATGGATGGATAAACAACAAGAGTTTGGATATAGGTAACCTGGTGACCCACTCGGACTCTACAGTCCGCTCATACTCCAGACTACACCAGGCTTATGGTTGCTTCTCGCAAGTAGCACAGGAAATGATAGAATATCCTTATTCGTGTGTGTTCTATACAATATCAATTTTGGCCAGAATGAGGAAGCGTAGTGCATCCCGTCCAGGACATGATATTTCCTGGTGTGGCGAGCTCCCGGTGACAACATACAGCAGATCACGGATGCAAGGAATTATGCTGAAATCTTACTTTCATGAATACCACGGGGACGTAAGGTTTGGATCAGGAACGTCACTGTTTTCTGTCAGCTGCCTGCTTGAATGTTGAGATGTACAATAGAAGTATCTTACAATATATCTATATCATGTCGTTTTACCAAGCTTGGTTTCTCTGTTTCGTCTGACAGACAAAGTTTATGTGGATATTTATTGTCTGAACATTTCCATACTATTGTACTGAACAATACATTTCCAATTTAAATATTTTTGCTGAGCAGCCATGCTGTAATGCGATTATCTGGACATTTAATATGATAAACGACTCGAAGGGAGTTTTTGTTTGTAAGAATTCATCTGACGTCAGACTGGGTATTTGAATAAGGTCAAATCCAGTTGTGTTTGTTTCTTTGTTTGGGGCATACAATCCATTCATCAACCAGGACTCACCACCCGATCGCATGAGCCGCCTTCTAGTATGGGTTGGTGAAGAAAAACTCTAAACCCACATATTCACAGAGGTACGTCGTTTGGGTCGGAGGTGTCTGGGCGGGGAGTGAGACAAGCACAGCTCGTTGTAGACCAACTGTAATCTGGATCTCCACAGGGGCCAAGATGCACTGTCAGGGAGGCACCCTGTTCGGTGATGTTGCGTTATGGTCGACCGTGTTGTAGGTGCTGACGAAGTGGTTGTTAATGAGAGTTGGGGAGGTTTATGTGAAGCTGTGCCACAAATGGATCAAGTTCAGCTCATTTGAGCCAAAGTTTGACTAATGAGTATGCCATGCTGATTAATGAGATGATCTAGTCGTGCTAGGGATCATTCAAACATGTTTTAGTTCACAAGGCCGATCTCACATCCTGATTCGTCTGTGGACAATCCAACCTCCATTTAAATGTTGAAAATCTGCACGTTGCGCCGTGTTCCAGCTTTGTAATTTTAACAGAAGCTCAAAACCTTTAAATCGTTTTTTTAATCCGATTTTGAAGGTAAAATACTCAAAATCACCTTACTTGTAATGGTGTTTTCACATTAATGACGTAATTAAAATACAGAACAACAAAAGCCATGTTCATCTTCAAAGATCAGACGTAATGGTTCTGCATTCATTTATGTTTGTAGACTCCTCGAAACAAAAATCTGAAACTCGCCCACTGATCAGCGAGCAGGAAACCTGTCAAAACCCACTTATCCGAAATCAAGGCAGCCAGTACATTTGCTTGAAACAAATAAGTTAATGGACCCGTTTCAGGGAACATTCATGAGACATGATACATGCTGATATTGCCGGCGCACACAATGTGGTACATTATATCTGACTTACAAGGGGAAGATGTCTGCATCTAATCGATTGTACCTCCACCTCCACTTCCACCCCCACCCCGTCTCCTCCATCACCCATCCGTCTAATCCATCACCCACCCGTCTCCGACCGCCTCCGTGGCGTAGTGGTTAGAGCGTCCGCCCGGAGTGCGGAAGGTCGCGGGTTCGATCCCCGACCGCGTCATACCAAAAGACGTTAAAATATGGTACTTGTTGGTCCCTGCCTGACGCTCGGCATTAATGGGTACAACAAGGACTGGTCGGCTCGGAGTCAGTATAATGTGTCTGAGTGGGGTATTCATGCTTCACTGCGGCATGGTATCTCAGTGGGCTAGCGCTATAAAACCAGCTTAAGTCTGGGCTAGTACAAGCAGCCGCACATACACATACACATACACACGCATGCACGTCGTCATATGAGCGAAATATTCTCTAGTACGACGTAAAACCCAATTTCACCTCACCTCACCTCACCCACCCGTCTCCTCCATAACCCATCCCGTCTCCTCCATCACCGCTCCGTCTCCTCCATCACTCACTCACCCGCCTCCTCATCACCCACCCCCTTCTCCTCCATCACCCAACCCGTCTCCTCCATCATCTACCCGTCTCCTCCATCATCCACCCGTCTCCTTCATCACTCACCCGTCTCCTCTATCATCCACCCGTCTCCTCCATCATCCACCCCGTCTCCTTTCCCCACCCGGTGCGTCTAATCCAACACCCATCCGTATCCTCCATCTCTCACCCCGTTCCCTCCATCACATACCCGTCCTCTCTATTACCCACATGTCTCTTCCACCACCCACACGTCTCCTCCATCATCCACCCCGTCTCCTCCATCACCCACATGTCACCTCCATCGCCCACACGTCTCCTTCATAACCCACACGTTTCCTCAATGACACATCCTGTCTTCTCCATCACTCACCTGCCTCAACCATTACCCTACCGTCTCCTTCCCCCCACCCGTCTCCTCCATCACTACCCGTCTCCTCCATCACCCATCCGTTTCCTCCATCACCCATCCCGTCTCCTCCCCTACCCGTCTCCTCCATCACCCGTCCCGTCTCTTTCCCCCACCCGTCTCCTCCATCACCCACCCGTTTCCTCCATCACCCATCCTGTCTTCTCCATCACATCCCGTCTCCTCCATCACCCACCCTTCTCCTCCATCACCCAGCCATCTCCTTCAACACCCACCCGTCTCCTCCATCACCCATCTCGTCTACTTCCCCAACCCGTCTCCTCAATCACCCACCCCGTCTCCTCCATATCACAACTGCCACCCCCTCTCCTCAATCACCCTCATCCATCCTCCCTCCCCTCGCCCTCCTCATTCCTCCACCCTCCGCCAACCTTGTCTCCTCATTACCGTTATGTCTCCTCCACCCACCCCCACCCGTCTCCTAAATCACCCATTCCGTCTCCTCCAGTACCCACCCGTCTCCTCGATCTCCCATCCGTCTCGTCAATCACCCTCACCCATCCTCCCTCCCCCCACCTTCGCCCTTCACACCCCTCTTCCTGCCGTTTGCCTCGTCCACCGTTCACTTCGTCCCTTTTGACATTCCCAAACTGCAATATGGATCGTGTCTACCACCGAGCAAGTTCGATGCGCCATTTAGGGACATTACACCGCTTAAATTAAATTTTAGTCTCTAAATCTATTTCTCAGCAACGGTTTCCATGGCAATACACACCGACTTGTCACTGAATGGGAAAAACAATAACCTTTACCGGCTTGTCACACAAGACGAAAGACGGCCATGTAGCTTACAACAAAAACAATTGATATTTGGCAGTCCACAAGGGGCATTTTTTCATAACAGAATAACAACCCGAATATCGCAGTTCCCCTTGGCAACCACTACCTGTCTATTGCAGACAAACCTAGTTTAAAATTTCTAATGGAAACCTTGCAAGAATACTAAGCTTGGAAGCGAAGCCAGCCCGCTAGCGGAACGGGGGCGTCATGTGTCATCTGAAGGCGGGCTATACACAGCGCCCGATCCACGTTTAAATAAGTGTGATACTATTTTACTTTATGTAGATAACTTTCATCATTCTTCAAGACATTCAGGATGTAAAGTTGGTTGAAAGTTTTAAACTGGGCACGGGAAGTCATCACTTATCTATTTGGTCAGGTGTTAGGAAAGGCTCTAGTGCCAATGGTCCCTCCCGTACCACCTCTTATTGTGAATCATGTATCAGATCCAAACAGTAAAAACTGCAGGTAGAAAGTCATAAAGGGGTTGATATATTTTCAGATTCTTTTGCGTTATGGTCGAATTTGTTCTTTGCAAAACGTTACATATATACAAGTTGTGATGGAAAGGCATCGTTTTCTGAGACACATTTTGTTTTTATGGAACAATCAGTTATGAGTTGTAACCAGAGAGCTAACAACTATTGGCTACTTCAAATCGTCGGGTTGGACTCGTCTGGGTTGGATCACACAGGACCACGCCGGACCACACTGGACCACACCGGACTCCACCAACCTGTGTGTGAGGGAACATAACTGATCGGGTGGCCATAGTTGGTGAATTTGTCTTTGCTTGACCTTACTAAATGGTGATATATAATTGTCGTCTACGCGAGGGTCAGTAAAATTACGGATGCTTTATCGCGTCACTTACGTGCAGTTAACTTAAGAAGCACTTATGTACTGACATGTTGCTGTGAGGATAGTACGATAATCCTTGCAATAGTTTGAAGAAGGATTATGTTCGTTAGCTTAAGGTCAAACGGTGAGTGTT